CATCTAACTAAATTGATGTAAGCAATGACATCATTACTTAAATGATGTAAGCAATGACATCTTTACTTAAATGATGTAAGCAATGACAATTTAGTTTGGGTTTGGGTTAGGCTCCCATAATGGATCAAGTTTATGATCCAACACAAGCAGCATAATGAAATAGATTAGAAAGGACAACAAAAACATAATTCAAACCAACACAGCAGCAATGAGGAAGCTTAGCTAGAAAATGAAAAAATTAGAATCGTTAATGAGATATTTTCAATTAAAGAAAGTTTAAGAAAATAATCAAGAAATTCCATTGCAGGCTAAAATTTTTAAATTAGAAAAATACATAAACTAAAATTAACCAAATTTAAGTACAAGGATGAAACCTACAAATTTCTGCATAATGCATGAACTAAAAAATAATTTGGCATTTTCTTTATACAAATTAAAAGCAAAAGCACATGCCAAAATTAGACTTTTTCAAGCAAGGTCAATAAATTTTCTAAAACTAGAATCAAAGTCATCGGTTTTTATTATTTCTTATAGAAAGGTAGGAAATGATTATCTTCATCAATTACTAATTATTCAATCAATTTATATTAAATTAGTTATGATTAACGTTGATAGTAATAATGGATATACAAAAGATTTTATGTTAGATCAGCGGATTTATAAAAAAATGGTTACAAAGGGAATAGAGTAAGAAACTGTGATTAGGTAGCAGTATATCCTCTCGGGAAAGATACTCCCATGCGATCAGCCATTGGAAGAAAAGCGCTTTAAACGGAGGAGAATCATAAATTACCTTCACGATACACATGGTGGAACGTGAGAGACCAATTACGATCCTTCAAGCTGCGTATGCCCGCAATAATAGTAACATAAATTAAGGAAGATGAAATGAAATATAGTAATTGTTTTTTAATATAAAATGCCAACAACTTGATTGGTAGGTTGTTGAGATTCTACTTTGAAATATCAAAGTTTTGGGAATCAAGTAGTGAGAATGACATTCCATCTACCAATTATACATGCATTACACCAAAAGAATCCAAAATGGTTCTCTCAAATCATGCATTTCATTAATGCGTAGTTAGAATTTTTATGTCATTGTCTTTTACCACCTATTTAAATACTATAAAATGAACCCATTTTCTATCTCAATTCTGAATTATCTCTTTACTGAATATACATAATTCTGCACACACAAAAATGAAGATGGATAGAAGCAATAATATGTTAGGAACCATGTTTAGATCAGGGGTGCTTGCAGTTTAACCATGTTAATGTTTACAGAATTAGCAGTAAAAGTTGAAGCACAATCAGAAAAGCTTGCCAGTGATGAAGGTGATCCCTAATTTACTTTGGCTTTTTGGAACTATTCCTTTTGTAAATGTCCTAAGCTTCGACTTAGCATTGAACACTTCAACTCTTTGAATACCAAGAAGTCTATATTCTCTTTCAATGAAACATGTGGATGTCTTTAGAAATGGCGCGTTTCTTTCATGCTTTTGTTCTTTGATTGGTGGTCTCCATCTCCAAAGTCCTAGTTGATCCTATTTATTTCAGTAAAATTTTATGAGCCCCTATATTGTATGTAAATTATGAATTTAGTTCCTATATTATAAGTTTTTTAACTTTAGTTATATATATTTAACCAAATGTAGCCCACTCTCTTGCTGGAAATGTTAATGTTTAGACTAAGAACCTAGCTTAGCTAGAAAATGACAAAATTAGAATCGTTAATGATTTTGGGTATGAATTTACCCAATACATTTTATGTGAATTTTATTACATGATATTTGAATGTTTTGAGTATGAACTGCCCAATAAAGATTTTACTTATGATATTTTGATATTTTCTATGCGAATAATTGTATATGAGAAATGGTAAATTTTATTACATGGTTTTGAATAAGTGTGAAATTGGCATATGATTTTGATAAAAGTCTAATATATATGTATTGAGAGTTTTAGGTACAAATGACATGTCATGAGGTGGAGTGACTATATGATATATATTTATATGACACTTATGTGTAATTCTACGAGGCACTTTCGACTGCAAATATACCTACGAGACACTTTTAAATGCATTATAACACGTACACTCGACGAGACTCATGTACATGATTTCTCGATTAAAATGTATTGACTATTGTTTAATGATGAAAGTACGAGTTTATATGGTTAATATGAAAAGTACAATTTATACGAATTAGAAGCTAACAAAGGTATTATGAGATACTTAGCCGCATATACTAACTTAAGAATACTAAAACCCTAGCAGTTTTCCTCCTCCTCCTCTCTTCCCTTTCTTTTTTCTTTATAATTTGTGTCAATTTTATTGATCAATCTAACATTTTCTTCTTTAATTTTGTTTAATCGACGGCGGCGCCAGTTTTCATGTTGTTTATTGCCCGTCAATTATTTTTTTAGTTTTTTTAATAAGAATAATTTTATCTTTATGATACGTTTTCTGCTTTTATGGCACGTTAATATTTATCTTTGTGGCACGTTTTTCTCTGCCTTTTGGTAGCTTACGTTTTTTTTGCCGTTATTTTCGTTTTTTTTTCTCAGAGTTGGATTTGACATCGCCACGATTGATAAAGATAACGCTTATTTGTTATCATGTTAATCTTCCCTGCTTTGGACCCTTGGATTGATTTGGATATGTGTTTTGCATTCGTGGATAGTTTTCTTATGTCGCTTAACTCTGATTTGCAATTTATTGATGGTCTTCAGTAGCTTCATCACTTTTTGTGATTCATTTACCGATGTAGTCAGATTTGTTTGTATCTTTATTTTGTTCGAGCATCAGTTGGATTTTTTTAATCATTTTTTGTTTTTTTTAGTAATCTAGGTGGCTAGTTTTTTGTCACATAATAATATTTTCAAGGTCATGTGACACCGCAAATCAAATCCGTAACATAAAAAGTAATTATTTTTAAAAAACAATTACTCGTAACATCCGCATACTACAACCGAAGCCGTAATCGAAAATAGTACTATGAGAAAAATTCTTGCTTTCACAACGTAAGAAAAGGGACCACTAGGCTACACTATCAGTTTGCGATGCTTTTCCATTACTGTTTGTTTAATTTCACACATGGGGTTGTCTTGTCTTCTTGTTGATTTTGAATGATACAGTCCCTACTCCATTAAATAGTAGAAAATGGAGTTTGTGCAGGGAAATTAGAAAAATAATATAAAATGGGAATTATACCTATCATTTCCTAAGAATGTAGTATAGCTTATGCCAAATTTTTTTTTCAATCAAGTTGTATTATTGAAGTTATCTTCTTTGTAAACGAGTGTTGGTATAAGTGTTTATGATTCAGGAATTTAAGCTTTTAGACCAAGTTCAAATCCTACCATAGTCATTCTTGATGAGCAATATGTAATTCATATGAAAATTTCAATTGAGTCTTAGATATACTAACCGGACTGGAGAACCACCCTTGACCTAAACTTTTGAATACCAAGAAGTCTATATACTCTTCAATGTCACATGTGGATGTCTTTAGAAATGGCGCGTTTCTTTCATACTTTTGTTCATGATTGGTGGTCTCCACTCTCCAAAGTTCTAGTTGATCCTATTATTTCAGTAAAATTTTATTATGAGCCCCTATTTGTTCATTGATTGGTGGTCTCCACTCTCCAAAGTTCTAGTTGATCCTATTTATTTCAGTAAAATTTATTATGAGCCCCTATATTGTATGTGAATGTCACGTGCATTCTTTAACGGTTGTAGGACTTTTTATGCCTTTGTCTTTCACCACCTTATTCATTCAAAAGACTATAAAATGAACTCATTTTCTATCTCAAATTCTGAATTATCTCTTTACTGAATATACATAATTCTGCAAAAAATGAAGATGGATAGAAGCAATAAAATGTTAGAAACCATGTTTAGATCAGGATGCTTGCAGTTTTAACCATGTTAATGTTTACAGACTTAGCAGTCAAGCTGAATCACAAACAAGAAAGCTTGCCAGTGATGAAGGTAATCACTAATTTACTTAGGCTCTTTGGAACTATTCTTTTTTGTAAATGTTCTGAGCTTTGCCTTAACATTGAGTATGTAGCTTATTGTTTAGATAATTAGTTGAACTGAGGTGTGCTTTATCTCTGGATGCTCTTCGTGAAATTGCCAGAGAATTAGGGAAGAAAGACTGGGATTTCACTGTAGACCCTTGTAGTAATCACTCAAGCTGGAGAAATCCAGATATAGATCCGAGGAAATTGTACAACAATACTCTCGTCTGTAACTGTTCCTTCCCCGGTGATGTCTGCCACGTCGTTAGCTTGTATGTTCTCTATATCTAAGGACTTAGTCCTAGAATTCCAAACAGTTCCATGTTAGAACACCTGGTTTTACGTGCTTCAATATTGCAGATATCTTAAGGGACAAGATCTGCCTGGTGTACTTCCACCATCGTTGCGAAGCTACCGCACATTAAGGTCATTAGAAGAGCCTGCGATTCTGAGTTTTATTTAACACTGATATGAAAAGATTACTCCAACTGATAGGCCTTTTCTTTCCTTTATAGTGATTTTACCCGGAACTACCTTAATGTACAATACCACCTGAGTGGACATCTACAAAGTTGGAAAACTTGTAAGCAACTTTTGAGATTCGCCGGGGCTTTTGATTTTACTAATTATGTTTACATTCATTGGGGCTTTTGCTGGATATACAGTTCAGGTCTGTTACGGTTAATCGCTTATCGGGACCTATTCCAGACTACTTGGGGAGCATACCACACTCCAATACCTGTATGTTCTAAGTTATAAATCAGTGTCATGTTCCCTCGATGAAAAGGTTTAATGAGATTCTATTAATTTTGTTAAACCTGCTCTAATACACTGCTGAATGATCAGGACCCTTGAGAGCAACATGTTTACTGACCTATTCCTCCAACACTTGGGAACTGGTTAACTTGGAGAATCTGTTGGTTCCTTTTTCTCTTTCTCTTAATGCCTGATTTTTCATTCATTAGCAACTATATCCAAATATGTGTCACTGATTTGGTTTATCCATTGATGACTACAGAGTTCTTAATGCTAACAATCTAACAGGAGAGTTACCAAAGGCTCTCACCAATTTGACCAAGTTACAGAATTGTAGGTTCTTATAAATGCAGTGTTGTTGCCATGCATTTGTTTTGTAAACAAGTTTAAGTTTTGAATGTAACTGGATTTCATTTTCTTGCTTGTCAATATGCAGTAGGATTGGCAGCAACAACTTCACTGGAAGGATACCTGATATTTTCCAAAATTGGACGCAACTTCAAAAGTTGTAAGCATCTTTTCGTCTTACCTCTTTCAGGAGGCTTATAGAACAAATATTTGTAGTTCATTTGTTCTTGGTTCACAGAGAGGTCCAAGCCAGTGGCTTTGAGGGTCCAATTCCTCCCAGCATCTCTTCCTTGACAAACTTAATCGAACTGTAAGTTCCCTGGCCATCTTAGGCCACAATCTCCATGAATTCCATAAGGAGAAGATAAAAAATATACTCGTGATTTATAAAATAAGCTTTCTGATTTAATCTCAAGCAGAAGAATTAGCGACCTGAATGGAGGAGTTTCGCGGTTTCCATCTTTAAGAAACATGAAAAGCCTACAAAAATTGTGAGTTATTTCTACAACAACAAGGTTCTTGAAAATCAGAAGAAATGTACACTTTGCTGCATTGTTCTTAATTGAAATTAACTATGTTGCAGGATGTTGAGGGACTGCAACATATCTGGACAAATACCTGATTATTATCAGAACTGCCACTAAGAATCATGTAAATCTGCTGCTCTTCTAGTTTAATTGCATGTCTGCCTTTTAGATTATAACTAGCAATTATTGTAGAAACAGAGTTTTCCGGTTCTGTTAAACAGGGTGATAACCGACGTTTTGCTATCAAATAATTCTGGCTTCTTAAAGAGATAGGAAAAAGTAGTATAAAGAAGCAGAGTCGATCCACAGGGACTGTGGTGCTTCTGATTTACTAAAATTGTTTCTTGATTTTAAAAGAAAATAGAATTCCAGATCAATTGAAAAGATATAATAAAATAAATAATTATAAGTTAAAAAAGGAAAATAATAAAATAATAATATAATAGTAATAAATAAAAATGGGGTTTTGAATTATTTAGAGGAAGTATAATGAAATAAAATTAAATAAACAAAAAATAAAATAACTAAATTGGAATAAAAAAACTTATTGTGAAAGCAACCTCAGACTTCAGCTTTGCCTCAAATTACTCGGATCATCGAAACATATTTTTACTTCAAGATTCACGTCGGCTTACAAGGACAATTCTTTGTTGTCAACTCGGATTATGTCGTTTCAACAATAACTGATTCCGATCTCAGTTTCCTCTTAGCAAAAAATTTTACTAAGTGTGTATCGGAAAGTTGAATATGCTTCAATAAGCAAATCCATCTTCAAACGTTAACCATAACAATATCCGGACCAATGTCGAAATCGTTTTGTTTTGAAAAGTAAGCTCAGAAAACATAGAGAAAAATCCGAAGCGATTTAAGTACCTTACAATTCTCACGTTTGGAATTGAGTCTTCGCTTCAGACTTCACCTTGAAAGAAAATTAGCTAAGCATGACCAAATTCATACTTAGCAATTGTTGAAAATGAAATTTAAAGAAAAATAAAGGGGTATGCGAAAATAAGATTTTATTCTCAGATGAGAGATATATGTTTCTAAGCTTACCATGAGAGGGTATTTGTATACTTCAAATTCCTAAAAACAAGCTAAACATCTTAAATCCTAATTAAAACACTTAAAACTATTTAAACTAAAATATTTAAAACAAAAATAATATTTAAAATAATATTCTAAATCCTAATTAAAATACTAAAACCTATTTAAAATAAAATACCTAAAACAAAGATAAAATATAAAAACAATATCCTAAAACTTAATTAAAATATTAAAACCTATTTAAACTAAAATACCTAAAACAAAGATAAAATATAATGTTTAAAATACTACCTTAAAACTTGAGTTTAATCCAAATCCGAATTCCTGAAACGTGCGACCAATCCATTCGTGCTTCTAGAAACGTTGACTGGATATTCTAGAAGGTGTTGACATCATCGCCTCGTCGGAAGTTTCATGTCTGAATTCATGCCCACTAATCCAACTTTGATTCCGAAAATTAAAAAAAACTGTAGAATTATGTCCTTTTTGTGCAATTTCCAAAATCTGACGTCCTGCATAGAAAATGAATCAAAACGAACAATTAAGCCACAAAATCCAATGATTAAGGAGTAATTTAAAGCAAAATATTAACTAAATTAAGCACTTATTAATTCTCCCTCACTTATTCAATGCTTGTCCTCAAGCATTCATCAATTAACATATCAAAATCATAAGTTGCCATCTTCAATTTCAACTTATTTCTCAAACTTCCAATCGAACTAAATCCATGATATTTGTTGAATTCAAGTTACAATCAAGCAAAGGTACAACCAATAAAATTTAAAGTAAGCAAGATATAACAATTAATTGCCAACTTCAATGAAACATGACTCAATACCTCACAAAGATTCACACATATCCGCTCAAAGTGTTTGGGGTAAATGAAATCGCTCAAACTGAAACTAACCAAAATATTATCATAGGCTTGGAATCCAATCAAGTCTCCACTACGAAAAATGAACATAATGCAATAATCAATGGGTCTTTAAACAAGGTGTAACTGGGTTTAGGTTAGGGTAGGGAAAAGGCCGAAAAGAAAGGTTTAAATACCGAAACAAGATATCAAAATAATTAAGAACAATCCACGAATTAACATGAAGCGCAATGAAGAACAAAACAAGGAAAAAAGACTAAATGAAAGACAATTGAAACGATCGATTTTTCCTTCCCTTTTTTTCCGAACAAGGGTGTTTTTTTTGTTGTTCGAAACAGTGAACAAGTTGTTGTTTTTTCTGATTTTTTGAAACAGTGAATTTTTTTCATTTTTTCTTTATTCGTGGAACAAGAATGATACAAGATATCAAGTATCTGTGAGAGTGTTTAAAGAGAGGAAAAATAAAAAAAAGGCTTCGGGTTTAATTATGAAATGTAAAACAAAGAAAGGAAAATATGCTTAAATTTGGTTCACTAGTGGATATATAAATGGGTAGGTTTTTTTGGGAAAAGTGAGTTTATCCTAAGTGCCCCTATCACATTAAAACATTACGTTCAAATGTAGTCTCGATATGCATTGTGATTACAAGTTCTAGAATATCCTAATTAGTTCAGTACACACAAGTCAAATAATGAGCAAGAAAGAAAATGTATGCTTGTTAGGCCCAAATCTCACAAGAAAAGTTTATATGCATTGAGTCAAGTTCATCTCTATTGACAAAAGCATGAAATATCAATACTCAACAAAAATTCACTAGCTATATCAATAACCAATCATGTAAATTAAATTCGATCAAAAACATGGTCATAATCCAAAAGGAAGCAAGAGTATAAAACGAAATTCAAGACTAGCAACCAACGATCCCAACATATCAACATCAGAATAACTCAATTTCAAATAATAAAAAAAAATCAAGGAAAATTTTGACTACATGTTTTTCCTTCCCTCTCACTTACTCCGTTTTGTCCCAAAACATATCAAATTTAAAAACAAAGAGGGGAAAAAGAATACTCCCCAATCTAGTGGTGACCGCGGCCACGTCGAGACGAGCTGTTATAGAGTAGAATGTCCGATACTGCACTGTTTTGTTCGAACTTCTCTACACAGTTCGAACCAAATATGTTTTTTATGCACTGTTTTTTCTGCATTGTTCGAATCTACTGTGTATATTTCTACACTGTTCGAACCAAATCAGTTTTTTCTGTACAGTTGGAACCAAGTCAATTTTCTGCACTGTTTTTCATTCAATATTCGATCGGAATTTAGATTTGTTCAAATAAAATAAAATAAAATAACTCAAATAAAATAAATAGAATGAAATAAAGTTCGCTGAAAATAAAATGAAATAAAACAAAAATATAATGAAATGGGTTGCCTCCCATCAAATGCTTTTGTTTAACGTCGTTAGCTCGACGACCTAATTTTTCAAATTGTGGGTTCCTCTAAATTGATTTCTTCGATTAGATCAACCAGAGTATTTTCATAATATGGCTTCAATCTTTGACCATTAACTTTAAATCGTACTCCTGAGTTATCTTCAATTTCAACAGCACCGTGAGGAAATACTTGAGTAACTGTGAACGGTTAGAGCAATTTTGATTTGAGTTTTCCTACAAAAAGTTTAAATTTGGATTTAAATAATAAAACCTTTTGACCGACAGAAAAAGTTTTAAAAGAAATTATATTATCGTGAAATTCTTTTGTTTTTTCTTTAAATATCCGAGCAATGTGATAAGCATTTCTTCGGATTTCTTCAAGTTCTTGAATGTGTAATTTTCGAGCTTCACAAATTGCATCCATTTCCATGTTACACTTTTTAATGGCCCAGTAAGCCTGATGTTCTAACTCAACTAGTAAATAACATGTTTACCAAAACAAGCCGGTATGGTGACATCCTAATGGGACCTTTATAAGCAGTTCGATATGCCCAAAGTGCATCAGTTAATTTTAACTCCAATCATTTCGGTCTGGTTTGACAATTTTCCCAAGAATTGTTTTAATTTCCCGCTTTGATACTTCTGTCTATCTATTTGTTTGTGGATGGTAAGTGGTAGCAATTCTTTGAGTTACTCCAAATTTCTTCATCAATAATTTGATCACTCGGTTTATAAATGTGTTCATCTGTCGCTTATTATAGCCCGTGACATGCCGAACATGGAAAATATTTTTCAAAAAATAATTGTAGTTTTAGCATCATTATTCCGAGTGGTCTTAGCTTCCACCCATTTAGAAACATAATCTATAGCTAAAATAATATAAGTATTTCCAAATGACGAAGTAAAAGGACCTATAATCGATTCCCCAAACATCAAAAATTTCACAAACTTGTATAGAATTAAGCGACATTTCATTTCTACGGCTTAAATTACCTGTACGTTGACATTTTTCACAAGTTTTACAAAATAGATAAGAGTACCGAAAGATGTTAGGCTAAAAGAAACTGCATTCAAGAATTTTATGGGATGTACGTTTTGACCCAAAATGACCACCGCAAGAGTAAGAATGAAAAAAATGTAAAATTGAATTTAACTCACTTTCGACAATACATCGTCGAATTACCTGATCCGAGCAGTGCTTCCATAAATAAGGATCATCTCAAATAAAGTATCAGGATTCCCGCTTAATTCGATTGATTTTAGCTCTTGGTAAATCTAATGATAACTTACATTTGGCCAAATAATTAACCATGCCCGCAAACCATGGAATTTTGCATTGCGCCACCATCAAATTTTCTTCAGGAAATTCTTCTCTAAGTGGTGGTTCAAATTTGGAAAGGGGATTTTGACTCAAGTGATTCGCAATCAGATTTTTGTATCCCTTTCTGTCTTTGATTTCCAAGTTAAATTCCTGTAAGAGCATGATCCATCATATAAGCCTCGGTTTTGCTTCCTTTTTGCTCAGTAAATACCTTATAGCTGCATGATTAGAAAAAACAGTAATTTTAGCGCCAAGCAAATAGGATCTAAATTTTCCTAAAGTAAAAATTATAGAAAAAAGTTCTTTTTCCGTAGTTGAATAATTTTTCTGAGTTGAGTCTAAAGTTCGAGATGGATAGGCTATGACATGTGGCTCTTTCCCTATTTTTTGGCTTAGAATGACTCCAACGCTAGTATCTGATGTGTCACACATAAGTTCAAAGGGGTAAT